AAATTTTGCTTTAACATATGATTTTATTTTTGTTTATATTTTATTTAAGAAAAAAAATGAACATATTATTATTTATAAGAATGGATTTAATAAAACATAAATTAATTATTTTCTTATGAGAAGAAGAAATCGTCGAGAATATAAAGATTGTAAGGTCGTTCAAAGTCATAATTTAAGTACTTAACATCAATTAGATGAATAGTTGTATAATAAAGAATAATGAGAATCAATTTTATAGAATTAAATGGAGGCATCTAAAAGATAATAACAAAATTAATCTTATGAGTAAACTTCAAGATTTCAAGATTGAGATGTTCATAAAGTAGCAAATACTATTAAAAAAGTGGCAAAAGATGTACTTGGAGAATCAAAAGGAAAAATTTGTAGAAATAAAAATAGTTGGTAGTGGAATAATGTTGTGCAACAAAAGATTAAATATAATAAGTTGTGTTATAAAAATTGATTTAAATATGAAAGCTTAGAAAATTGAGAAAAAATAAGGTGACTTGTAGGGAGTCTAAAAGAACAATTTGTGACACTAAAAATTATGTTTCTTATGATTTTTATAATATATTAGATACTAAAGGAGGTCAAAAATATATGTATAAACTAGCCAAATAAAGAGAAAAAAAGTGAAGATTTAACTCAAGCAAAGTATATTAAAAATGAAAGTAAAAAAAAATGTTTTTCTTAGAAGAAGATATTCAACATAGATGAGTGAACTATTTTGATAAACTTTTCAATGAAGTTTCTTAAAACACGATCAATCTTAGTGATCTTAATCTCGTTAATAATAATAAAATGTTTTATTTTTATCTTTGTAATAGTAAAAAAGAAGTGGAGGAGGCTTTAAAGAAAACCAAGGGTTGAAAATCAATTGGATCTGATGATATTTCAATTGAAGTGTGTAAATATTTAGGATATTTGAGAGTTTCTTGGCTTATTAAACTCTTTTATCTTATTTCTAAAACTAAAAAGATGTCTGAGGAGTGGAAAAAAATATTTTGATCCGCATTTTTAAGAATAAAGGAGATGCACAAGAGTGAGCAAATTATGATGGAATTAAATTGATGTGTCATGCTTTAAAATTTGGGAGAGGGTAATTGAACATAGGTTAAGACGTATTACAAAAATTTCTCATAATCAATTGAGATTTATGCTGGGCAGGTCTACTTTGGAAGCTATACCTTTATTGAGAGGTTTGATAGAGAGGTACAGAGAGAATAAAGAGTATTTATACATAAGCAGGATCTATATATAATTTTTATTGATTTAAAAAAAGCTTAAGATAAGGTTCCAAGAGAAGACCTTTGGAGAGTTTTAAAGAAAAAATGTGTTGATATGACTTATATTCAATTCATTAAAAATATGTTTACTAGAGTTGTTACTTGTGTTCGAATAGGAGGATTCATCAAGTATTTTCCTATTTCAGTTGGATTACATCAGGGTTCGGCTTTAAGCCCATATCTTTTTGCTTTAGTTATGGATATTCTTACTGGACATTTACAGGAGGATGTACCTTGGTGTATGCTTTTCGCTGATGATATCCTTCTTGTAACTAAAGCTAGAGAAAGAGTTAAAAAAAAACTTGAATTATGGATGTCTACATTGGTGTCTAAAGGCCTTCGTTTGAGTAGATCTAAAACTGAATAAATGGAATGTAATTTTGCTAGTAGTAGCTCTAGTGGCAGAGTTTTTAGCTATGAGCGATCAAATCATTAAAAGGTGTGAATGCTTTAGATATCTCGGGTCTATTGTTCAAAGTGATGGTGATATAGATGGGGATGTTATTAGTAGAATTTAAGTTGGTTGAAGTGGATGAATGCATTGGGCCTATTGTGTGATAGAAAAGTATCGCTTAGTCTGAAAGGAAAATTTTATAAGATGGGGTGGTGAGCTGCAATGCTCTATGACGCAGAATATTGACCAAAGAGAGAGAAGCATAAAACAAAGTTATGTGTTGCTGAGATGAGAATGCTTAGGTGGATGAGTGGCTTGACACTTAGAGACAATGCGAAATAAATATATCTGTGATAGGGTTGGTGTAGCTTCAGTTACTGACAAGATTAGAGAGTCGTCTTAGATGGTTTGGTCAGATTAAACATTGACCATCTGATGATCCGGTTAGGAGAGTAGATGTTTTAGATTCTACTTATGTTAAGAAAGACAGAGGTGGACCTAAAAAGACTTGGTCATATTGTATAAAAAAATGATCTTACTTTATTAAAATTAAATGAAAATATGACACTCAATAGGACGCAATGGAGAAAAATGATTCATGTAGCCGACTTCACTTAGTGGGATAAAGACTTGTTGTTGTTATTGTTGTTGTATAAAATTAATGATGCCAGGATCAGGTGGAGATTTGAAACTTTATTAAAATTGACATTTGATCAAACTTTAACAATATAAACAATTTTGACTTACAAAAGGATGGGCAAATGCATCCTAATAGGTATTCCAAAATTTCATTTTCCAGTATATCATCCCAATTCTAATCCCAGCTGCCCTCTTTGGAACTGTCGCTTAAACAATTGATAATTGATGTTGGTTGAATTGCTCTTCATAATTATGGACTTTCATTTCTGTTCTTTGGAACCTCTACCTATTAGATTGGCATTGAGAGTATGGCCTTATGAATTGTCTGACAGATGAAGGGCTTTAATCAAACGGTTGGAAAGATATCCTTGGCAGCCAATTACATTTGAACATAGCAAAATTGATGATGGTCCAGGGCAGTTTAAACACCTATGAGCAGTACATTTTTTCTAATTACTCTTAATATTATCAAGGAAATCAGGGATATGATGGTATCATATAAATTTCTTGATGAAGTATTTCACATATCTTTAGCTTAATAATGGTTAAAAATAAGCTTGCAACCGATTCAATTATACACTTACAATGTCCTCTATAAATTTAGATGAAGGATCCTTTATGGCTTCTCTTCCAATTACCACTCCTTCCTTGCCCTTGATGACGATCTTCCATTAAATTTTCCAATTCTACTTGGGAGATGGGAAGAGGATGCTGCTCAATCTCTACTCACCTTTGTTTCATGACCAATGCCAACGCCAACTTCTTTTCCCAACTTTTGTTTTTCTCTTTCTTTAGAAACTTCTTGCCATAGGCCCCATTTTAGCTAGTGCTGCTTCCCAGTTCAACCTGTGGTGCGGTTACTAATTTGATTTAAGGAAGTAGGTGCCTAAATGATATGCATAAACTATGGGTACATGGTTGTATTTTTTTTTTTTTTTGTCATGAGGGCAGAGATGAACTTAGGTCTGTCGATTTGACTTCAGAAGTGCCCTTGCATGCAGCATACATGTATTTATAGTAAAGATGCATGGCGTGTGCTGTGAGGTATGGAAACACATTGTAGTGTGAGGGTGGGCGAGCAGAAGGGTTGGGGCGGGGTCACTTTAAGGGTGTGGGAGGATGAAAATAATATAATAAGAGAGAGTTAGGTGGTGGAGTGCACTAGAGACATATATGAATTGCACTTATAATTGTGACAATAGCTCTAAAATCATAAAATTTGTGCGGACATGTGTGTGTTCACACTTGTACGCGTGTATATGCTTACTTGTCTAGGTTACCTTTTACTTTTGTATTCATCATCATATTAATATTATTTTAATAAAAAAGGACATCATTTTTATTTTTATTTTTTCATCATATTTTTGTTTTTGAGCTCCCTGCTATCTGTGATAATTGAAATTAGTTAGGGACTCATATTCATTTGATTCAATTATTGTGAGTTAAATCAGGTTTTTTTGTAGGAGGTTCTAATAAACTTGAGACAACACATTCTTACTATTGTTTTGTTTTGATTCTCCAAAGCCTGAGATATGATATTCTTAATTTTATGCGCCAATAATTGTTCAAATAAAACAAAGTTTTATAAAGATGCATATTTTATTCGGATTATGACCATTAGTTTTGTTTTTTAAAAATAAATTTCTAATAAAATTTTTATACCGGTTAATTCTTTTTATAACTGATTTATAGCTCAGATATCATAAACTCTTATGAAAGTTTTACTCTTTGGTTATTTCTATTGAAGGTCAAGTTCTATGCTCTTGGTTTATTTTAATGGAAAGTTAATGATTTCAAATTGACCAGACTTTAGGCTTTTGCTCTCTGATTATTTGTATGTGTGTGACATGTTGAGCCCCAGGCTCAGTAAACTCAAAATGGTTAGATAATTCACATTTAGATCTGCCGTCATCACTCATTTACATAAGTAGTCTACAAGTTAGGTTAGTGAGATATTATATATATATATATATATATGTATATATATATATATATATATCTATATATGTATATATATATATATATATATATAGATATATATATGTATATATTACTTATTATTCATCAGATTAAATTGCATTTAGTTGTATTCACTTTTTGAATCTTCACATTTTAAATATTTAGCTCTCAAACAAGGTGCTTTATTTGCTGCCTCTGCTCCATGTTCAATCGGCACTTTTAAGCATAGCTTATTGTATGCAATAAAGTTATATTTGATGAATCCACAATTGAAAGTATTATTCAATTCCTTTTTTTAATTGGAATTAAAAATAAATTCTCTGCTTCTATTACTTTTTTTGAAGGTTCAGTGTAATCAGTTTCAAGCTATTTCTTAATGTTTGTGCCTTGGTTTTACGGTTTTACCCTAAATGGACACATCTATTGGGATGTATGGTAAAGGTTTTAACAGCTTCAGTAAATCCTATAAATCCAGATTTTACTAAATTCTACCAAAAGCAGGCTTTAGTAAATCTAAGATCTAAGGTAAAACTAAGATGAAATTGAGAAGGAACTAGATTTACTATATCTGGATTAAAAATTGCCTTTTTTTTTCACTGGCAAGATTTAAGTTGAATCCTACTTAGATCTTTTACGATACAGCCCCCTTACATCTTTTATAGCAAAGTTCTTTCCATTTCTAAAAACCAAATTGCCTCAATTTTATTTTAATTTACATGCAGAATTATCATTTGGGACAAATGAATGCAAAACAGTTCAATGATTCAGTGTGGAAAGGTTTTTTCCAAGGAAAGTTAACTTTCTTGCACTGGCATAGAGGACAAGACATGGAGCCTGCAATACCAGATGGAGGAAATCTTCTTGTTAGAAAAATGATCTATCCAGTCCCAACGTATCCCCTTATCCCCCTTATTTTTTCTTCTTATTAGGGATCGTATGATTTTTCTTCAATTTGATAGTTTTTTGCTTTGATCTACTTGGATTGATGCTTTCTTTAGATACTGCATTTATTAACGCACAAGCTTAAAAAAGATGTATAACCACTGGATTTTAATTCTCCATCATTACTAATAGCATTGCTGGATGTTTGACTCTTGAATATCCATATTTGGATATGATGGCACTGTGGAACTTAAATTAGATCATTACTGGTCTTCTTTTTGAAGTCTCTTATTTGAATTTCTAGTAGATACATTAAAGTATAAGACTTTAAGCTTTTGGGCAAATGTTAACTATTTAGCGTTATATGGGATATTACAGAAAATAATGGTAAGCAAAAGCTATTTCATTATCATTATAAAGGCAGAAAAAATATGCATTGTACTGCCTAATGCATTTTAGTAATCTATACCATTCTAAGAATGAGACATTACTACTTCTATATAGTTCAATAACCAAAAAAAATTTCATGCGGTGTTTTCACTGGCTATTGCCTTTTTAAATGGTGTCCAAAACTGTCACCATTTGAAGGCTTCCTAAGTGGTCCAAAAAATTCTACTGCTTATAATTTTCATTATTTTCCTTAAGCGGTCGCTAAAATTTCCAACCGTCTGCAGCCTTTTTTTTTCCTTGATAAAGTGGTCTTGGAATTCCTTTTGCTGTTTGCAACTCATAATTTTCCACCAGTTGCTATTTTTTCCTGAAGTAGTGCTAGAATTCTTGTCTGCTAGCTCCTAGTTTTTAAGTACGCTTTGTTTATTGTCATCAGTGGGACTTTTCTTTTTTACCTGTAATCAATTATTCAACATGCCTCTCTTTAAACTGGTTTGCAGAAGTCTACCTGATGCGGGGGCTTACCGGGATGTGGTATTGTAGCTATGAAGATCTATTTATTTAAAGTAAATATTGTCGTTGTTGGCTCAATGCTGGTATTAGAAAAGAACTGACAAAATTTCTCTCTAATACTTCAATAAAATTTTATCAGTTGTCGATATAAACTGTTCCAATATTGAGAAACTTTCTCATGCTTTAGATTTTATTGCTCATAGAGTTAAAGATAATTTCCAATCCCATAGATTCAAAGTCTCTACCTGCACAGCTCTTCAACAAATTCAACAAAAGTATGAGGCCATTTATAGACTTCTGAAATGGTGTCTATTCAACTCAGTGGGTTTGAACTAGAGGTCATTCAATGCACAACAAATAAATCCCTAATCCTTATCAACTTCATTGTCAAGTTTACTTCACCTTAAGAATTCTCTTACCTAGAGTACACAAGGCGTTGTTTTCATGTCCTCTTTGAAACATTAAATTAACTATTAACCAAGCTTAGTATAAAACATTGCTTGTTAGATAACATCTTCCTATTGGAGTTGGACTCGAGGGTTTAAGACTGCTTAGATTCTTACCTCATAGGGAATTAGATACGGAGGATTGATGAGGTTTGAGATGCCACCCTTGGTTTATACTTGAAGAGAGTTTAAAATATGATATGAAAATTTGATGGCTTCACCATCTATCACATGTTGAGAGAGAAATTAGCTACCAAAATCACTCTCCATGTTAATAATCTTTATCCTATATTAGCTTTGGAGATCGGCATTTGATAAACAGTTGACCAATTATTGAAGAAGGAAAATTATGTAGCCGACTAAGATGATCATCCGTTCACACCTATTGTTGAATCTTTCTGAGGGTATAATGTCGAGGATAAGAATGCAAACAGAACTCAAATTTAAATCGGCTCAATACTTCATCTCAGAAGGAGATTTATTTAAGAATTATTCAGCAATAAACCTAAGGTGCCTCTTGTCTCAAGAAGTTAAAGAAATTTTAACAACGATTCATATAAGGTATTGAGTTTGTAGTCACTTCGCATTAGAAAATTTAGTAAAGGTGCTATTGGCTTGCTTTTCAAGATGATGCGATGGATTATCCTAAATACTGCAAAAAAGTGCCACTTACAAGGACATCCGAGAAATTTGAAAGCCTACTAAAAGCATGTCAACATAAACTATTCTATTTTTCACTCAAGGGAGGAGTATGCACCACTTTCAAGGCCCTCCTGATTTTGAACGGTTCACTAGGCCGACAAACTTGAAAAATCGTTTTCAGCTCCTGAAGACTTCATCTTTTCCCCTCTCATTATCGACATTCTTTGAATCTAAAAATTTATTATTATACATGAGAATTGTCATGGTTGTGGTAAGTTCTGTGATGGTTGGAAAGAAAATCAGTATTAATATCTCAGTACTACTTCAGTAAGACCCTATCAAGGGTGAAGCTCGACTACTTGAATATGATAAATTTGCCTTTTCTCTAGTTACCACTTCCCCCAAGTTGAAAATATATTGTCAATCTCACTTCATTGTCGTTATCGTTGCAACCACTTAGATCTTGTAGAAACCTAAAGATTTGAGGAAACTTATAAATGTCATTTTTAACTTGGTGGATTCAAATTGGAGTTTGTTTCTTATAAAATTGTCAAAGCTCGGATCCTCATTATTTTTGTTGTATAGTTTATCATGAAATACTATTAAATTAATGGAAGAAGTCTTTCAACTTGAAGAAGTTTTGGTCATGTGCATTGATGGTCTCTTGGCAGTTGACAATATTGGTTTTAGGGTCATTTTTGTCAGGGTCTTGTCTTTTTATCCTCTCTAAAGCTCAAATTTAAAGCCACCAACAATCAACTTGAGTGTGAGGTGCTGCTTCTCCGTCTGATACCGGAGGAAAAGCCCAAGACACATATAAAATGTGAATAATATTATTGCTAAATTTCGATAGGGTTACAACGACACATACGAAAAAAAGAAATAACAACAAAGACAACTCATAGACACAATCAGGGCTCGAGAGAAGGAGATTGTTGGGTGGTAGACGGGAAGGGAGGGGTATAATTAGGGTAGTAAATTGGGGTGGAGTGTTGGTGGTACAATAGGAGTGGAAGTGGGGGCTGTGGATTGCAGAAAGGAAGAGGTAGAGGGATCTGTAGTCGGTTTCGAAGGTGATTTGATAGCAGCTTGTTTGTTGTCCTGTTCTGGCAGCAGCTACAAGCAGACATAAAGAAGGGATGTCGGCTTGCTGAAGGTGAGTCGGAGGGAGGGCAACAAGTTGTCGGCTGTTGGACTGCGTGGGAGAGGGGGCTACAAAAAGATAAATGACTCGTCGGGGTCGAGCTATAGTCGGAGCATCACCCGGGCCCTTAGAGACGGTCACCACCTTGGATGAGTTATAGCCAGAACACCTTATCGCAGTCAGATACAGCCCTCAGAGGGGAAGAACGCCTCAAAGGCAGTAGCTGAAATCAACAGTCATCCAAAAACCTCCTCTAATCTCAAAAAACAACATTTATATAAAGAGGGGATTAGTAGATAAAATAGGTAAAGAGAGGGATATGAAAGAGATATGATAGGCAAGGAGAGGAATAAGAAAGAAGTAGAGAAAGAAAGGAATTATAATGGAAAAGCATCAGAAAAGGAAAGGAAATGAATTAAATAGGAAAAGGGGGTTGTGATTACTGTAGCAGCTAAGTAAGGCATCCGCGGTACTGTAGCTACTACAATACCACGGCCGGTAAGTTCCCACGTCATTGTCTACATCTTATTGTTGTGTTAAAGCCATGATGTTGGAAGTCTTCTCAAATTTTCAGCTTATGTTGAATCATCTATTGGGAAACTATGGGATTCGAGATGTCGCCCTCTTGAAGAGATTTAAGAGCTTAATCTGGAAGCTCAAATGCTTTGGTATCCAACATATTTTGGGAGAAGACAATTAACTAATAAAAATATAAGTTTAGAAACCCTCATGATATCTTAGTATAGGTTGTCCATAAGTTACCTTAGAATATTGTTGATTTACTCTTATCATCAGGAGCAATGTTGCATGAAGGTAATCAACTTGGCTAAGTACTTTCTCTTGGAAGGCAATCTGTTTAGGAAATTCTTCTCGGGAATAACCTAAGTTGTATCTTGTCTTGAGATGAGAAGAGTTTTAATAAATTAATTTTTGAAAGTGTGGAAATTACCATGCCTCTGAGAACTTGATTAGAAAGGAGCTCAATTAAAACTATAATTGGCCCTCCATCTGAGATGATGGCAAAAAATTTGCCCTGTACTATAAAAACCATCAACTCCATTACACTTTTTGACAAGCTCATGAGCTCTGCAACTTATTATTTTTTTCATTGTCGTTTGTCATTAGGGGATGGATTTCATCAATCGCTTTCTCTTGGCGCCTTGGCAACTTAATTTCGTGCTTATTTTTGTGGCTTATTTCATTATATATTGAAGTCGTTGCTTTAACACATCCTATAATCAAAGCTGCATCAAGATTTTTCTGTTAAGACTTTTTACTAAGCTTGGTCTTCTTCTCGTCATCATCATTGTTAATGGTCCTCAATTCTTCAAGAATAAGATAGTTATTTTTTATTCTAATGACATCAACCTCAAACCTCAAATTCTTTTTGATCACTATCCTTAAACTTATGGCTAAGGCAAGGCAACAAATAAGCTATTCATTAATCTCTTGAAGAAAAATGATGCGGGGCCGAGTCCTGTGAACTTGCCAGAGGCTTAGCGGGATAGGGCCGGTTTTGCAGGGGCAGGAATTGTCGCCCAAACTTCCCCCCTCCTTTTCGTTTTCCCGCCTAGCTGTACTTTATTAATATGTGTGTTTGTTGAGCCTAAGACTATGTTTTATTTGGTTTCAGCTTTTCTACCTGTTGATTTCTTTTTTTGCTAGGGTTGTACCCGAGGACAGGTGCTCCGGCTGTATCATTCTCTAAAGTGGCGACTATCCCCTTCGATTCCCTTCTCGCACTCCACCCTACCTTGTGCCAGCCGTGGGCCAGCAACTGCTCCAGTCGCCGGCCAGCACTTGTTCCAGCCGCTGGTCTGCTTTTATTTCCCCTTTCCTGCTACCAGCAGCTAGCCACCGGCCTGTTGTTCCATC